GATTGATGGATGGATGGATGGAAGGATGGATGGATGGAAGGATGGAAGGGTGGAAGGGTGGAAGGAAGGAAGGAAGGAAGGAAGGAAGGAAGGAAGGAAAAGTGTCACAGAAAGAAAGAGGGTCACAGAGGTGGGTTGTAGAAGAAGGCAGGAAGAAAAACACGAAGAACGAGTGGCAGAAACAGAAGAGAAAATGGGAAAGGATTCCTGTTTCGGTTCACCCTTGGCCCTGCCAGCTGGCACCATAGAATCCCCTGGAAGTGGGAACCTCAACAGTTAAAATAACACGTAGAAATAATGTTAGGAGTTAGTACGACTCTATCCACCCTTCCAGATCTGCTTTGCGAGGCCTTTCCCTGGCGATCCTGGGCCGTCTGCTGAGCGCTTCAGGCGCACGGCTAACCAGACCTTTTAATAAGAAGCGCCCCGTCCTTCATCAGGGAGGCATCCTTGGTTTCCCACAAAGCAGCCACGTCGGCAGAAAAACTGGTGAGGGAGCAAAACAAATAGGAAAACAAGGTTTTTTTGGGGGGGGGGAACTATGAAAAGGAGAAAAAGAAAGGGAGGGATGGAGCAGGCTCATGGCTCGCTGAGGTAGCACTGCAGTTTTACAGTAGGCAGTCCTCTGAGTAATATTCTTCCTAGAAATAAGGTAATGTCAAATGTAAAGATCAAATTTCCTCCAGCTGTGGAGCTGGAGGTTGGGAGTTCGAATCCCCCCACTGTGGCTGCACGTAATCGAATGTAAAGATCAAATTTCCTCCAGCTGTGAGCTGGAGGTTGGAAGTTTGAATCCCCCCACTGTGACTGCACGTAATCAAATTCAACCCTAGAGAAAATCAGCAAGATTCGGTGGTCTTATGGGAGGGGGGAGATCCCAGGCCAGGTTGTGACTGCTCATCTCAAGCAGTGGTTCCCAAACTTGGGGTCCCCAGATGTTCTCAGACTACAACTCCCAGAAGTCCTGGCCAGAACAGCTGGAGGTTAAGGCTTCTGGGAGTTGCAGTCCAAGAACATCTGGAGGACCTCAGGCTGGGAACCTCTGGTCTAAGCAATCTTTAAACTCTGTGTCGAAATAAAAGCCACTGCTATTTAAAATCTGATTTAATTTGTTGTCCAAGGATGTTTGGTTTCTGGTTTGTCTGTTATTATTTTAGCATACATTGCTTTCTGGGATTCTGGGAGACTGAAAAGTAATTTATAGACAGATCTGATAATCAATGTATAAGAATTCTGCACCAAAAAAAGAAGACAAATACGTTATTGATATAGATTACATTTGTATAATTGTACCTCTTAGCCAAGACACTGAATCGCCTTCCTCGACGATTCAAAATACTTGATGCAAGAACTGCGATTGCCTATACATTTTCCTGCCTGTTTGGGCGTCCATGAGGGCTAGAAAATTGACTTTTAATAAAGGAAACCTGGGATCAATTTCTGCATCCATAACACATTGGGTGATTTGCCTACATGAGTTAAATTGCATATTTTTTCTGCTAGTTAGGGGCAGGAGTGAAGACGCTAGAATTTTCCCTCAGTCACTCAAAACACTCTATCTTACACTGAATTTGATATGTCTTACAGTTGTGCATTGACTTCAAGGATAGCTTTCGCACCCATGAGGACTAGGAACTTGCATTTAAAAAACAATGAGCCATGAAAGTTGGATTCCACTTCAACGTCATATTCTGCTTTGTTTTTCTTCTTCTTAAGACCTTCTGGTTGAAAAAATGGTGAGGGAAAAAAGCACATCATCAGCTGTGCCGAAAACTTATTTATCATGAGGCGGGCCTCAGAAGTCTACAGATCCACCTCACTCACCCTTTTTCCAGCTGAACCGGGTGTCCCCGACGATCCAGTATTCGTGGTCATCAAAATGGATCTCGCCGGTCTGTGGGAAAAAGGCGTGAGCCAGTTCTCCGGTCGTGCCATCAAAGCAGTGATGGATTTGGGACTCCAGGCAGTCGGTGTGATTGATGGAATAGAAACCTGGGAGAGAAGGAAGGAAGGAAGGAAGGAAGGAAGGAACAAAGAGAGGGAGAAGGAACGAAAGGAGGCGGG